CATTTCTGGCATTCTTCAAGTTATAGCCCATAATATAAAAATTTTCTAGGAAAAATTTGGTCACGTGACCTCAGCTGCAAAGGGCCTATAACGTTGTAAGTCTTGATTTCCTCCGCTCTATCGAGTCCAGACTTCTTTCCCGAACAGTGGCTGGTAATCCAGCCTATAAGGTTGTTGAATCATGAAATTCTCAAGTATATGCAAATATATTCAGATAATACACTACAGAATGTTCTAAATGAATAAAATGACATGATCAAATATACGCATTTTTCTTACCCGAACGAGCATCCCTGGTACGAATTTGATGTCAGAACAACAACCAATAACAAACGCTGTAATAACAAGAAGCGGGATTTCTGAATAAACCAATGAAGAAGCTCGTTAGAAATTACATCTTTACAGCCTTTTGCAGCCAGAAAAGTGTTGCGGGAAATGGTAAACATAGAGTTTCTTGAACAGCGAAAAAGTGATTTCCCTGACCATGAAGGTAGTCTTAGGAAGACTGGATGAAGTTAGAAATTGCCGGAAAAGTGTAGGAGAATGGGGGCCATAATTTAGGACGATGGAAAACGACCCGGACGAGTCAAATCCCCTAGTGCCGCACAATTCTGTTGTAGATTGTCGTTTACATGCATCTCCGACTGCAGAGAGGGATTTTTCACGAAGAGTTCGTCGAGACGACTTTGCATTTCGGCAAACGCAATCTGTGAAGAAGAGCATCAATGATGGAAGGGCTGCAATTGACTCTTTAAAGTCGCGTCTCTATGACAGACCTGAAAACTCCGAGGTTTTCCGAGCGATACTTCGACCCGTCCCGCCATCTTCAGGGCAAGCAGCTCAGGTATCAAAGTCATACAAATGAATTAGTTAAGAAGTTTTTGTTTGGTTTTTACTGTGCGAATGCTTCAGAGCTACTTGAAAACAGTTTGCAATCCGAAGATTCAATACGAGATTCATCTATGCGGGTAAACTGTACATTATCGTAACGGTGTCATGGAAACGTGACGGACGCCAAATTCTTGGAGCTTATATTCAAGGGGTGGATGTCACTCATCACGGGATAAAATCGTTATCTATAATCCAGCTGATATTTTCGCACACATGTGATTGGTCTTAACACATCACGTTTCTGAAATTTATGCCCCAGCTGGGGAATATCTAAGTGATATTCCCACGGGGTTGGTGGGGGGAGGGGAAGGGGGGTACTCCCAGAAAAATTGGGTAGGGTTGTGCGGCCCGCTTCCCAAAACCCTTCATACACACTTTATTAACACATGGTAAAAACATCAGTTACAAGATTGAGATATACAGTTGAACCTCGATTATCCGGACTCATTGGGACTAGACCAAATAGTCCAGATAAG